CCCCCGGCCCTATGGGCAAACCGGATGTTCAGGAACTGACTTCTGGTTTGCTCATAGGGTCCTTTTTTGCCCTCCGGAGGCTTCCTGAAGGTCCCTGAACCTCCAGAGGGCTTCCGGGGCGGGGCATGCAAACAATGGGGGGGGGGAAAGCACCTCTCATGTGCACATGTGCACTGGGGGGTCGTGCATTGCATTATGGGTGCGGCATGCCCACGCACGACCCCCCCCTGCGCTCCCCCTACTTATGGCACACAAGCCAAAAAAGTTTCGCCATCTCTGCCCTATACCATTTCAGATAAGTGACTGTCCAATCTCTTCTTAAAAACTTCCAGCGATGAAGCACCTATGACTTCTGAAGGCAAGCCATTTCACTGGTTAATTGTCCACACTGTTAGGAAATTTCTCCTTAGTTCCAGGTTGTTTCTCTCCTTGATTAGTTTCCATCCATTTTCTTGTCATGCCTACAGGTCCTTTGGTAAATAAGTTGACCTCCTCCTCTTTGTGGCAACCACTCAAATGCTGGAATACTGCTATCATGTCACCCCTAGTCCTTCTTTTCTCTATACTAGCCAAACTCAAATCCTGCAACTTCATATGTTTTAATCTCCAGGCGTTTAATCATCTTAGTTGCTGTTCTTTACACTTTTTCCAAAGTCTCAACATCATTTTTGTAATGTGACCAAAACTGGATGCAGTATTCCCAGTGTGGCCTTACTAAGGCTTTATGCACCGGTAATAATACTTCACATGGTTTTGATTTTATGCCTTTGTTTATACAACCAAGGATTGTATTAGCATTTTTGGCTGCTGCCGCAGACTGCTGCCTCATATTTAAGTGATCGTCCACTAGGACTCTAAGGTTCCTCTCATAGTTATAGTTTTTGAACCAGATTTCACCTAATGTGTACTTATACCTTTGGTTTTTCCTGCCTAAGTGTAAAACCTTGCTTTTCTCCATATTAAATTTCATGTTGTTGGATAGGGCCCATTGTTCAAGTCTGTCAAGATCTTTTTAGATCCTGGGGTTGTCTTCAAGAATGTTGGCTATTCCTGCCAGCTTAGTG